CCAATATCGTTACCATACTATAAACAAGACATAGTCCCTTTTAGCGTCACTACACTATTACTATAAATACTGTTTGACTACAAATTTGGTCGGGATATTTTGTCCCTGTAGATAATCTACCTTTTTAATATTTTAATACTTCTTTAGAAAACTGCATAGAATATGTCCTAAAAGAAGCATGAATAACGCTGGATGCTGACCAAAGCTGTTAGGCAACAAGCAGAACAACACCTCTTTCTGGACACTGCGTGGAAATAACTAGATTTTTCTTATTTTAATTGTTTTTATTTACCATAAATTTCAGAGAAATAAAACACACAAAATGAAACTTCTACAGGTATGACGGATTTATAAGAAACGTAACATCGATGTGCGCATGCGAATTACCACAAGGTATGCTGGATTGAGGAGGTATGACAGATAGAACACCTGTTATAAAATGGCTAGAAAAACATTGAATATATGGACTGATTTTCCATAATTTAGCTTATGTATATAATGTACAGTGTTTTTTGTTACCAACTGTGTGTGTATCGTGCTTTGTGTGAGGAGCGATCAGAAACAGCAGAGAACAGACTGGAGGTGAGGCAGGCAGTTTTCTTGCCTCATCGCCTGGGGGCGCTCATGATCCCAGATATTGTGACTCCACAACTGCAGAGAAAGACACAGTGAGCTAGCCATGGAGCTAGCCATACAGTAAATAAGTAAAGTACAGCGACATAATTGTTTTCTCCTCTCTTCCGACGTCAACACTTCCGACGTCTACACTTAAACAATTTTCTAAAGTGGATTTTCAATTGAAGCAGAAGATAATAACTAAAGGAAGACCAACACCGGAGCTGAAAGTTTTGCTTCGAGACAGTTTGATGATTCTTAAACGGAGTAGAAAAGACATGCTGAGGATAGACTTGGCTTTGGATGAACCGATATTTTTGTGCAGAATTAGCGGTGCATGGATTTCATTTTTAAGTAAAGGTAAGACAAGGTAAGTCTGCGTGTAGCTTGGCGGAAAAAAGAGTGAGAAAGTGCTTTCTCGCTCTTTCCCTTTGCTGTGGATCATAGCACGAAATTAATACCTACATTTCTAAGTTTCACTGAGTTAACGCGGCTATGGATGACATGTAAAAGATTAGTCTTTTTGTCCCCCAGCGTTGTATGACTGCGCGAAATTTCCATAAGTCCAATAACATGCATGGTGTCTATGAGTCGTAAGTCAGT